TGAATGAATTTTCATCTACAGATAAATAATAAGTTATGATGAGGTAGTTATGACAATGTAAATTAAATATTCCAAATAAATACATTTTTTTAAATAAAATTCTGAATACATGCGAGTACATAACACTGGTAGCAAAATTAATGTCATAATAAAAATCATTATCAATAATAAATTTCCTGTTATAATAGCGTATAAGTGTATATTTGAAAGATTGTCTTCATTTAGCTTTCTTAGAAACATACTTGCTATAATATTAATTATCTTGTAAATGATTTAAGACAGGGCACTTTACAAAAGCATGTGGTTCTAATGGTAAAGGCAGAATCAGTACATAATCAAGTAATCTACAAAATCAATTCTCATATGAAAAAAAAAACATATGTCTATTTGACAAAACATGAAGTAATATATAAAATTGAAAAGTCTTACTTTATCTTCTGATTTATAAAATACTTTACTAGGAGATCCTATCGCCGATAATATACTTTGACAACTATCACCAAATCTAACTTCTCTCTCTAATATTCGTCTCCTCTGTTCTGATATCTTTCCTGGTCCTGAACCTGAAAGTTACAAACAAAAATTGTTTATTTATTACATGTGCCCAACACCAATGAAAATGGTAATTTTCAAGCTATTTGCCATTAGTACCTATGGTTAAAAAGGTTATGTCATATCTCAAAATTTTGTTCTGGAACATATAGTAAAAAAATAAAATGTATGATGGGTCCTTGTGGCTGTCCTGAATCATTGAAAATTTCTGACGAATACTATTTATTTTTTACAATCTTTTTTTGCATTTTAGACTAGTTTTACAGAGTAAACAAGCAGCCTGTCGGCTGAGATAGCTCGGCTGTTAGCAATGCACATTTCAATTAAAGAACAGAAGATATCATTAGAAAATGAACAATATGTATAATATCAAAGCAGTGGGACTTGCTAATTTCAACAAGAATTCAAAAATATAACTTTTCACCATAAATGACAAAAAATAATCATCAAAATTAGATAATTGAAGATATCACCACGAAATTAACAATATAAAAGAGGTCCACATGTAGTACCTATATATGTAATGTAAAAGCAATCGGACTTGTGGTTTTCATTAAGAAGTCGAAAATATCACTTTTTACCAAAAATTACAAAAATATTCACTAAAATTAGAGAATTAAATATATCATCACGAAATGAACAAATCTGAGAGAGGTCCAAATGTAGTACCTATATATGTACTTTAAAAGCAATCGGACTTATGGTTTTCATTAAGAAGTCGAAAATATCACTTTTTACCAAATATTACAAAAATATTCATCAAAATTAGAGAATTGAAGATATCATTACAAAATGAACAAATCTGAGAGAAGTCCACATGTAGTACCTATATATGTAATATCAAAGCAATTGGACTTGCGGTTTTTAACAAGAAGTCGAAAATATCACTTTTTACCAAAAATTACAAAAATATTAATCAAAATTAGAGAATTGAAGAAATCATCATGAAATGAACAAACCTGAGAGAGGTCTAC